CCCCCCCCCCCCCCCCCGGGTCCTGCTCCTCACCCCCAGACCCACCTCAGCTGCTTGGAGCTGCTCTGGATGTTCTCCAGCTGGTCGATCTCTTTGGAAAGCCTGGCGATTTCTTTCTCCAGGTTTTGCTGGGTAATGTCCACCTGCTGACAGAGCCGGGCAAAGGTGGTGGCCATTTCCCTACAGGGAAAAAGAAGTTTGTGATCTCGGTTCACAGAAACCCCCTGCTCCCAAAAAAAACCAAGAAATGAAGCAGAAAAAATAATAATATTAAAAACAAAAAACCCAACACATGGCGTTGCAGGATGCAGTAGAACTCGGCGAAGTCTCCAGCTGTTAAGGGAGCACGGAATAGCAGAAAGCAGGAGAATTAGCTGTTTTTTAAATAAAAATAAAAACCATAAATGTACAAAATGCACCTCAGCATCACCTCTGGCCATTTGTCACTGAGCACCAAGGGGCACAAGCCTGAGAGGGGGCCTCTGGTGGCACCACCTGCTCACGGGGGGCACGAGCCCTCTGCAGGGTGAGGGCTGCCCCAGGTGTGATCCTTCTCCTCCACCATCTGCTCCCAACCCGAGTTCCAACACTCCTCCTCCTCACACAAAAACCACCCCAGTTACCACCCCAGGCCAGCAACTGGGCTCTCCCACAGGAGGGGAGAGGTCCCTCCTCTCTGCTCCACCTCCTGGGACACTGCTTTGAGTCCAGCTCTTCCATGTCCTCACAGAACACGCAGCTGCTGGACACGGGGACGACTCTTTCCTCTGCTGAAGCTGAACTTTGCATTAGTAAAGGGTTCCCTGGGCTACACGGGAGAGGTTCTGCACCTCTCGTTAGCAGGCCTCATTTTCTGAAATAATAATTTAATCAAAACACCCCTTTTCAACAGGAGGTTGAGGGAGACAATCACCCAGACGCTGCTTTGCAGAGACAGGGGGAAAAGGATTTGGGAAAGAGGCACACACCAAAAAAAAGGGAACTGCTCACAAAGGCTCTCAAGTTCTTCTGTGGTGCAGAAGAGCCCGGTCCTGCTGCTTGGACCTCACCAGTACCAACCCTTGGGGCAGAACCAGTGCTCACCAGAATGAAAACGCATCATTAAACTGGTTCAATGTGAATCTAAAAGCAGAGCAATTCAGATTCAGCCTCCACTGAACCAAGCCACGTCCCTCGGCTCCACAGCAAGGTGCTGGACATCCAGGGCCTAGGCCTGAAGACCCTCACACACACACACACAGATGTATACACTCATTTTTTTGGGTGCTAATTTCAAACTCTTTAAAAGCCCCCTCATAATAAATGCTGAGGGACACTAAAGCTGCTTTCCCCCACCAGTTACAGCCAGTCCCTGCTCCCAGGACAGCCCAGTCCCCCCACTGACAGGGGTTTCTTACCCCGGGGAGGTACTCACTGTTGCACCTGATGGCTGCAATTAGCACTGGTGAGGCTGACGATCATCTGCAGCTTCTCGGTGGCGTAGTTCACAAACTGCTGTTTGAAGGCTCTCTCCTTCGCTTTCGTGGTCCAGGTCAGTCTCTCATAGAGGTACAACAGCCCGTACATGCTTAAGGAGAGAGAGATGAGTTTCCAGCCCACTGTTCTCCAGATCTAAAAAAAAAAAACCAAAAAAAAAGAGGATTCTTCATTAGCTTAAGGAAATCGTCCTACAGAATAAAATCTAATTCCACCCTTTCAGCGGATTAGTTGAAGAAAATGTATTATTTCTGTATTGTGACGGATCGCAGAGAGACACAGCTGCCTTGAGAGCCCTTGGCAGGGAGGATGGGGAAGCCTGGCTGCTTTTGAATGGAGGAGGAGGGAGAAAGCAAAGCTCCCCTTAAATCCAAACTGAAGGAGGCACCATCAAACCACCCTTTAATTCCAAAACTGAGCACAGACGTACAGCAGACAGAATATGTCCGACTACACTCAGAGTAATTAAGCTGATTTTCTCCCTACGCCCTGATTGTGGGTATCCAGTGTCTACAGACCCTCCATCCAGCCCGGTGTTAATTACAAAATCCATCACACACTTCCCGTTGCACCCCAGAAATGGAAAGAGCAGCTCAATCTCTGCCATCACTTCCACCCCAGTGAGTGCTGCTGGAACTACTTGCCACTCCGCCAACAACGATGATGCTCATGGAGGTGCGCGACGTCAGCGAAGCCAGACGTACAGCAGACAGAATATGTCCGACTACACTCAGAGTAATTAAGCTGATTTTCTCCCTACGCCCTGATTGTGGGTATCCAGTGTCTACAGACCCTCCATCCAGCCCGGTGTTAATTACAAAATCCATCACACACTTCCCGTTGCACCCCAGAAATGGAAAGAGCAGCTCAATCTCTGCCATCACTTCCACCCCAGTGAGTGCTGCTGGAACTACTTGCCACTCCGCCAACAACGATGATGCTCATGGAGGTGCGCGACGTCAGCGAAGCCAAACTCATCACCAGGGGAACCATGAAATCGTCCTGGGCCGAGCTCTCCGGGGTGAGGGCAGGAAGGGAGGCAGCAGATGGGGTGGCAGCTAAAGGACGTGGGATCTAGAAGGGGGGAACAAGGCAGCCTGAGTCAAAAGCATCAAGGAACTACCAAGCCCACAGGTTTTCTTTTATTTTCATATATTCAGGGTTTGATTTGCTTAAAGGAAACTTTCCAGCAGAGATAAGCAGCGAAGGTTTTGGCAGTTCCTTGCCCAAAGGGGGACTGGGCTGGAATAAGGGTTCTGTAGAAGTTTGGCTCTGCTGTAAGGATCCAAAAGTTACAAATGACAAGGTTACCCAAAGGGTTCAGGTGGAAGGAAAACAAAACTCAGATTAAGGGCTGCAGAAAGTTTAGGGAAGGTTTTTTTTGTTCCATTCTCACCCTGAATATAATCCAATAAAAACAACCTTCACCAGAAATATTTCTAGGTCTAGGGGAAAGTAGCAGGCAGCATGTGAATTGCACAGGAAAATAGGGTAAAAACCACGATGTTCTCATCAAGGTAAAACCAAGCAGTTAAACCATCAGCCTAAGGCAGCACTCACCGGTAAGTTTGGATCTGCCAGTCCCAAGAGCACTCTCTGGGCTTGTTTAGGACCCAAAAAACGGTTCACGAGCGAAGTCCAACCCAAGGAGAAGTGGAACATGATATCCTCCTGGAAATCTGCACACAGGCTGTGGCAGTTCAGATCATAGCTAAGGTCAAACCTCCTGCAGGGAATTAGCAAGTGGAGCTGATTCTGAGCATCAGAAGGCAACAGCGGTTTCAGATTTTCTATGAAATAAAACAGAATAGTCAAGGTGAGGTAACATCAAAAGCTCTACAGCATATTCACAAGTAGGACCCTGGCTCTGCTGACCAGCTTTGTGAACTATGAGAATCCAAACAGACCAATTCACTTATTTATTTGTAAAATCAGGGGGTATTTTGGCAGTATTGATCCTCAGAGAGCAGGCAATGAATTGCTCTGATAAAACAGTCACACAAAATCAACTCACAGAAAGAGCACTGCTGGAAAAAAAGTCAAATTCACTGAAAGATCCCTATCAATGGTCAAAAGATAAGGATGGATGAAGGAAAAGTTGGTTTATCCAGTATCCACATACAGAAAAGGCTACATTATTGCCTGGCTCTGCTGACCAGCTTTGTGAACTATGAGAATCCAAACGGACCAATTCACTTATTTATTTGTAAAATCAGGGGGTATTTTGGCAGTATTGATCCTCAGAGAGCAGGCAATGAATTGCTCTGATAAAAGAAAACAGACACACAAAATCAACTCACAGAAAGAGCACTGCTGGAAAAAAAGTCAAATTAACTGAAAGATCCCTATCAATGGTCAAAAGATAAGGATGGATGAAGGAAAAGTTGGTTTATCCAGTATCCACATACAGAAAAGGCTACATTATTGCATGACAGAAGGCTTCACGTAATTCCATGATCTTGCTCTGAATCTCTTATTACCAGAAAGAGATCAGAAGAGAGAGGTGGGTATGCAGTAATGTTGCTACTTAAAAGAAGAAAGAGAAAAGGGAGTGCACAAGGACTTTGTGAAACTGTCCTGTTTCACACTCAGACCCTGGAGGGACCCAGGGAGAGGATGGTACTGCAGAAACATTATCTCACAATTAATGCATTTCATATACCTGGTGTGCAAGCCAGAAATGTAAATGGGTTTCTAAAAGGATTAGCCAAGTTCCCAGAGGACAGGTCCATTACTACTTGCTTAAGCCATTAATCCAGATGCAGGATCTTGGCTCAGAAGTCCCTGACTTGGGAATGGATTTACCCTGGTTTGTTATTCTTTCTCCCCAGTTACCTGTTAATATCACAGACAGGCTACTCATCTGGATGGTCTTGATCCAGGATGGCTCTTCCTTTATCATTTTATGGTTTTAAGTTAAGTCACGATCAGAAAGAAAATTCTTTTAAAAGCAGGTTTCCTTAAATTGTTAAAAGTCTTCACATTCCTCCTTCCTCATCATCTCCTCCTCTTACCAATCATCTCCTGCTGCGACTGATGCATCGACTGATTGACCTCACTGGAGCAACGATCAGCCAGGTTCCTGCCCAAACCATCTTCTATGTGTTTGTTCAGCTCCTGAGGTTTTAGAAAGCAAATACTCTCATCAATTTCTATTTAGTGAATCAATTACAATTGTATGTCCAAAAGCAAAAATCCTGCAAATGCTTCAAGAAAGCGTCACATAAAATGCTGTGTGAAATTATGAAAATACAGAAGGAGAAATGAAAGAAAATACCAAGGGCCTGGCTTCCAACCACGCAAGGAAACTTACTGTCTTGTAGAGCTTCAATACTTGAGGAGAAGGGTGAAAATCTGAATAAAACTCATCAACTAAAACGGAAAGTCGGCAAATCTCATCGGTCATGGCAGAGGAGACCTGGAAAAATGTGGGAAAGACATAAAATGTTTCTCCTGCCTTCTCCAGCCACTGCATTAACTGTTACAATAAATGACTCAAATCACCTGACAGTCAGAAAAATTTGCCATGTTTAGATTTTCTTCTTTTTTTTTATATTGGAAAAGGAACATATGAGGCTTTTTGGAAAGTGGATGGGCACCTCAAGGAGCTGCCTCACGGAAGAGAATGCTTGAACCTGGGGGATTTCTCCCACTGCCTTGACTTACTTTATTTTCCACTTCCTCGGTGACGCGTTTGATTTTTTCCTTCGTATCTTCTGTCAAAATGTTCAGCTGATTTCGGACAAAGTCCAGCCTGTCCCTCTGATCTTCTCGCTCTTCCATCGAGTGGACTCTAACGCAGCAGAAAGGAACCCCCTGTCACCAGCAGGAATTCTCCCAGTAAAAAAACAAGCCCCGTGGGACACCCATCCCATTTAAAAATAATGAAAAAAAAGGATAAATCTGGTCAAAGTGTCCCCCTGCTGCTCAGCAGCACCGCTCAGCTACCCCCTACCAGCAACATGGGCCTGATGAATAAGCAAAGGGGAGGCAGCAGAAACTAACCTTGTCACCATCAACTCTCCACCCCCATTTAAGTAAAAATTGCTTAAAATCTAAAGCAGCTCTAGCTCGAAGGGCAAAGCAGCGCCATCAAAGAGCAGCTCAGACTAAGAGGGGTCACTCCACAGCGTCTGGGAGTTCGAGTGGCAGAAAGAAGCAGAATATCAGAATATTTTCAAACATTTCACAGCGTGTTTTCATAGCACCCCACAAGGTGAGAGGGGACAGGGTGTAACCACAGAGTTTGTAAAAGCTGATAGACTGGGGAAGAGGAGTGTGTTTGACAGGCACAGGGGAGGCTGCTGAAAAATAAAGACACAATTAAGAGACACAGAAAGGAGACAGATGGAAAGGACTGAAGGTGACAGCAAGTTGGCTGTGTACAAGACAGACAAGAGGTAGCACCAAAAGTGAGGGAAAAACCCATATATATGCAAACCTCCAAGAAGATATGAAACTATCAGACAGTAAACGAGCTGCCACCATCAGCACTAAAAGGATTACATGAGTAAAGAGAGAACGGAGATATTTAAGGAGACAATCTGGAAAGGGGCAAGAGGCCAAGCCTCTGTGAGCTTGGGCTTTCTCATCCCTTACAGGATTCTAACCACTTGCCAATTAAAGTGTCTACGTCCTCCCATCTATTTTCTCAGGGTTACTGTTAACAAAAAACTCAGGCCCAAACACCGTTTCTGAAATGCTGGATGCAGGCAGAAAAAACTTAAAATTTCAAATATTTTTCAAAAAAAAGATTTGAAAACCCCCAGAGTGCCTTTGTAATAGTAAATTAGTAAGAAAAAAAATGAAGTAAAGCGAGATCTCCAGGGAGAAGTCACAGACCAAGGAGAAAGCTGAGCAGTGCAAGTGAGGAGCAGCGACACACAGAGAAACTCAATTTCTTACCAAGCAGGAAAAGTGAATTTTAACATCCATAACGACCCAAGAAAACCACGGGCTCCTCAGAGGATGTGGCTAAACCCAAACCCACCAGCCCTCCCAGCAACCCACCTACCTTTTCTCTGCTGCTGCTACGTTTATGGCGTCCATAATGTTTTTCACAGTATCTATTATCTGTTTAGCTCTGATAGTGTGCTGCTCAAACTTGGTTTTCACGGCTGACTGCGAGATACACTCCTGCGAGGGGCCCAAGCCACAACACATTACTGCAATTCCATGCCAACACACTCAGGAATTTCACTAGCAGAAAGCACACGCTGCTAATTTTAACCAGGAACTTAAACAAACGGGAAATTAAAAGAGGGGAGAAAGTATCTAGAAATTAAAAAGACAACAGAACCGAAAATCTCCAATGGGTCTGCAGCAGCAAATCTGTACCTTCGCGTTCACTCGCAGTAATGTGCATAGGTTTTGATTCTTTTAAAGTAAATTAATTATAAAGAAAGAAAAAAGAAAAGTCAGATGAATACATAACATAAATCTAGCTCTTCAGAAAAATTCCCAAACTATTTATTTGGAATTATAAACGTCTACCAGGAAGGCTGGCAATATTGCCTAGCTTGAGCCTCCTTTCTTGCAATAAATATTCTTGGTTTCAAGAAGCAATTCTGCCAAAATTCAACATGCTCATGTCAATACTGACCATCCAGGAACAAAATACAGAATTAGGAATAAGGATTCTCTCATAGGATAAGAAAAATTTGTTAAGTAGTCCTTAAAATATTATCTTATTTGCAGATTATTGAAGTGTTGAACAAGTAGAAAATGCTCTAAAGATACAATTTCTAACAAATTTGCAATCTTGAATATTGTAGAGTGATTCAGAAATTACAGGACACTGATTGAAAAGATACACAAATGTTCAGTTTGAGCAAGAGCAAATTAATTGTGACAAGGCATAAATTAAGACTTTGCACTTTTTTTCACGCAAGTGCACATCCTAATTAAAGCCAATTAAATGCTGTCGGAATTCAACCTGTGATAAGTCACCACAAAGTAGCAACATCTTCATTGTTTGAGGGGAAAAAAGCAAGCAGATAGTTTCTTTATACCAAATCTATGGGGTTTTAAAATTGCTTTTAATCTATGGATGCACCTTTCATAGGACATAAAGGTTTAGGTTGCTTTGAAAAGACTTGCCTATGACCTCAGCGTACGCTGGAATAACAGGAATAATATCAGCTATCTGAAAATAATAGTTAAAACCAAAATAAACAAAATGGGTAAAATATATTCCCTCGACGAAGCAGATCTAGAAATCAGCAATGAAAGGCCAGAGTTTCATAAATATCAGCACATTGTAAGAGCTAGACTGGGCACAGAGGAAAGAGTCCTCCCAACATTAGCAGGTGGTAGGTAAAAAGATGACAGTCACTCACAACACAACCAGAAAATCCAAGTTAGAGCACTAGGAAAAACACAAAGGTTAGTTAAATGGCTGAGAAAGGCAAGAGGGGGACAGCAGCAGTTTTGCTATTAGCCTGTAAATAACTATTTACCAAAACAAAGAGAAAAGGTACGTTTCAACTGCATAACCAAAACCAGTTACCTTCCAGCCCACTTCCAGTATTGTCTTTAGGCACACAGCTTATTACACCCCGTGCAGTGCTACAGAAGGACTCTGCAGTAGCACACTAATTCAGGCTGAGTTATTCACTCCCATTTACAGCCAGAATGACAGGATTCTGCCCTGCCCCCCCCTCCACACCCCCACCTCACACCATTTCAATTACCAGTTTTTTGAAGGAACTTGGGAAATGCTACAGCCTGAGGAATAGTGGGGTTTGGGTTTATGTAGAATTTCCACTCAGGGCTACTGCTGTTTCCATAAGGCATTTCTATGTACCTCGTAACATTTCAGATGATCCACAGACTACTTTCTGCCATTCCACAACATAAAAATTGGGAATTGATCCCATAATCCCAATTTTTCCTTTAAGGCTGCATTTTTTTTTTCTGTGTTGCAGCACAGCTGACATACACAGTAACAGCACTTTTTAAAGCTACTACAGGAATCTCTTAAAACCTTAATTTCACCCCTGCTTACAACTGTTTCTAGTGAAGCCTGGACTGGTTTTTCTTTTAGCAATTTTAACCACCCTGTGGTTTGCAGAAAAACATGTTGTATCTATTTTTTTAATGCCTTTTGCCCTCACACAAAAATTCTACATAAATGTAGTTACAAAACTTAGAAAAACGGTCCAAATTTTTCCGATATCAAACAAAATTTATCCCATAACAAACTAGCACTGGTGGGTGGTTTCTAGATATAGGGTTTTTTTTAAATATTCTAGCTATACTGGGCTGGTGTCTGTCCTGGGATGAACAGGCTTTGCCACCAGGCAACTTGTGCTAAAATCAGGAATGTGGAAGTACTGGAGAAGTAACAGTTCCTCCTCTCAGTCCTTGAGGAAAAGAGGAAGAAGTCACTGGGTTTTAGTGGAGACAAAAGCAGGGTGAGAGAATCCCAGAGGAGCAAAACCAGCAGCTACGGGCTGTGGGAACGTGGAATGCACGGGTGGGTTTATAAATGAGGTGATGAAGGAGCTTAGGTGGATAAAAGAGTGCAAGAAACGTGTGGAAAGTCTGAGCAGGGCACCTGAACAGGGACAAGGAGTTAAAGGCAGGACAGAGAGACTGAAGCAGACACCATTGTCATCAGCTCAAGAAACAGTAACTTGAGCATTAGGTCTGAAGACTTCAGACCTAGTGAAGCATTTAAGTACAAACCTTGCTTTAAAAGCAAATAAAATGCCATTACAACTTAGGAAATTGCCCACAAAACCTGAATGTGCTGCAGCATCAGACACTGAAAATTTAAATTGTGTTGGCAATCTTAATTTAGCAGATGTTGTGATGCCATCACACTCCTATTCAAAGCCATTCATTATGATTTCAGGATGCAACATGGCTGCATTGGGAAAAACCTTACAGAATCCACTCTGACTGGTGAGAGTCGGAAGGTGTGAAGCAAACCAAACAGATAATGTGAAAGAAGAGAAAAAAAACTAGTTTTAAGGCCATTCAGTGCTGTCACAGAGTTGTTTTTTGCCCCTGCTTCTGCCAAAGAAACTCGCCGTGGTTGTGACCTTGTGATGGATGCTCTGCATTTTGGCAGCCAACTCAAGACTGTGACATCCCATTTAGGGATGTGCTGAGCACTCAGAGCACCACACCATTTAATAAGTCACACATCCATCTTAGTCTTGAAATATCCTAAGTGTTGAGTGCTAAGCCATAATTACAAGAGATTTTGTCAAAAAAGCTTTGGGTGCAACACACGGCAAAATATGTTAAAGAACAATAATTGATCCAGAAGCTTAATTTCCACTTTTTTTCCTACTGGCTGAAAGCTTCCTACTGTAATTCTAAGGACAAAAATTACAAGCAAAATCTCACGTTTGGCTACAACTAAAAATTTCATGCCTCATGGACTCAGGCCCTGCTGATACTCTGAACCAATCATTTTAACAGTTCAGTCACCTACCTCAAGAGTGAGGATAAGAATTAAAATGTCTGACATTTCCTTGCTTGTGCAAGACAGAATCAAGTCATTTTAACACCTTATTGATATACACACATCATTACATAACTTGGTTTTGCTAAGGTCAAATGGGCTTGTTTGTAGTGAAAGAAGAAATATTTTTTGGAGCCAGTTTGATTGTTTTTTTTTTAATATACCAAACTACTTACTGTTTCAGGCACAAAGAGCCATCTTGAGAATTTGCTGTAAAATTACAGCCACACCACTCAGGCTCACGTTACATGAAATATGCCAATACACACCACAGAAAAGCATCAAGGCATATCCAAAATGCCTCATTAAGATATCCAAACATGGCTTTAATTAATTAGATTTATCCAATTCAGCAAGACAAAGAAATTACTCAACTGCCTGGTCAATCTTACTTCTGAAGAAACTGTGAACTCCAACTATGAATGTAAACTGAGGGTAAAGGATGGATTCTGTGCAGCAAAAAGGATGCAAAAATAGGGTTAATGTTCAGAGATTCAGAGCTAAGATGTAGATAATGGGGATCATTTCAAAACTCTGGCTTTAAAAATGCAAGTCACTATTTAGATTGACATTGATGAAAGAGAATTTCTGACTATTTGTGTCCTGAATTACAGCAATTAATTACAAAGCTACAACTTCAGAGCAAAATAAGCCTTACTACACAGCAAATATTTTACCAGCTCATGCTTATAAGGGATACAATCCTTTCTAAGAGCATTGCCTCTTTTTACATAGACTATATTGGCACTGAGATCTCAAAACATGAGCTAAGAGGCCAGTTTTGGCCCCTTTCCTCACTGAGAAACACTTATTTCTAACAACTACCTGCTATTCAAGGTGAGAACAGAAGAACAGAGCCCACAGATGAGGCAAAGCTGGGAGATGGTTTGAACAGCTTACACTCCTCCACTTGTTAACATGGGTTATGTTCAGTGAAATTAAGCTAAGCATAAACAAAAGCTGCCTTTGCATTCAAAACCAGGCAGTTTAAAAAGCCCATCATAAATACCTCAAATATCTGCTCAAAATGTTGAAATTCCTGGAATCTTGTTTGGAACCCTTCAGCAAGTGCTCCACCTGTGAAACACAACAGACCGTAAGGGGGAGGGCAATGGCTCACAGCAGTGACTGCATCTTAAATATTTTTGTTTATCAGGTTTTATGCTATTTTTCTGTGTTTGAGGAAAAACAAGAGTTCCTACACACCACCCTCTGGCATTCCTTGGGCCTTCTGCCTCCTGGCACTCAGCACTTCCTTTGCTGAAACAAAAAAGATGCGATTCCTGGCTTCTACAGGATCAATAACTTTGAGCTCATCAACTAGAAAAGTCAGACAGCGCTCCATGTGCTGCCTGCGCACCTAAGGGAAAGGTAAAAAGCTTGTGAGAAAAAAAGCAAAAATTAAGCCATCATCAAATCACAATGTCAGAGACAGAAACATTCACACACTGTAGTTAGATATGTAGGTTGCTTTTTGCTCAGAACAAGGACTAAGTGATTTCCATTTTCTGACCAAATAACTTATCCTTTGATTAATAAGACAGAGCTGGTGTTTCATGTTAATAACTGTACTAGCTACATTTACCATGCTTTTATGCATGTGTAGGTCTTTTCTTTATATAAATATTTTATTATTTCAACTTTTTTAAACATCTACCCAAGTAAGAGCCACCAAGTCACTCACATCTTCCATGTATTCGGGTTCTGATGCAGAGGCATCCCATCTATTATTCAAGATGAAGATGTTGGGCTTGGAAAGTCGTTCGTTCACTTTATGGAAAAAATGTTTTTCCTAAAAATGAAAGCACAAACAGAAAATTCCCCTGACATCCAGACCAGAGTCACACATTCTTCTGTAACAAATTCTGAAGTTAAGCAAGCTTTGAAAAAAGTTTCTTATTAAAAAGAATTCATCCAACAGGAAAAGGCTTGTGACAGTTCAGTAGTCATCAAGTGACTTCAACCCGATGCGTTTCCTCTCTGGGATGTATGACTTTGAGCCACAGGAAAAAAAAGCCATTGCTTATGTTTTCACTTCAAAAACAAGTCATGCAGGTTCCTGAAAACATATTTGGGTCCCTTGCCCTCACCTACCACCCATCATTGCTATTTTCATACTCATAATGGAGCGAATCCCCACTCAGCACAGGTGAAACAGAAGAGATTTCCGTGCTGCCATGAGCTTTTTGAATCTGCAGCAGGACACGACCACATGTTCTGGACACAACCACCAGAGATACTTATTCCCTGACTGATGGAGACTAACGTATGTGTCAACAAGATCACTGTTGTAGAAATAAGAACTTTGTCTGAAGAGAATTTAGGAGGGAACCTGAGAAAAATCACATTCACGCAAAAAATGTGTGGTTGTGTAGCACCTGCCAAATATTCTCAAATCTCTTATGGTAAAAGTAATTCCTAAGGAGGACAAGAACACAGTTAGCATGTGTTTTACCTGAAGGATAAACTTATGTAGATGAAGAAAGACATTCCCATTTACCACAACACAAAGCAAAATACAAATGCTTTAGAGCAGTGAGATAATTGTTAAAGGCAACTTCATTTGTGTCTATCAGGCTGAAAAAATTAAAAAGAAAGAGTAAGAGCTGTTTACTGAGCCAAAGCCTCAAAAAACCTACTTCCTGTCCCTCTAATATACACCCAGGGCACATTTATTTCCAGATTCCATAATTACAAGGTGCTCAGAGTTAAGAGAGGATTTATAGGCATGGCAACCAAAAACACTCAGCAAGACTTCAATGCTTCAACCAAATTGCAAGACTAACCTATTTCTCTTTGGCAGCTTTCAGCAGTGCCTGACAAGTTCAAAAGACTGGCCAAAACCCACACTGAAAAGCAGAGTAGCTCTTCTGTGACTGGGTGTTATGGATCAGACAAATTCAAAACTAGCAGAGTCGTAGCCCATATGTCTTTCCTGCATATTTACTGTCCCACTCAGGTTGGTTTTAATGGTTCATTCCTCCTGAGCAAATGAGAGAACCAAATAAAATTTGGCCTTTTCTCTGTTACTTCATTACACCAAACTGAAATCTGGCCTGCAGTTCCCTCCTGTTTCCATGCTCCTACATAGTAATGAGGTGTTCACTACAAACCAATCTTTTCTTCGTCTTATTTTTTTAATTAAAAAAATAAATCAAACCAACTATAGTACGTACATAATGCAAACAATTTCTAGACTCTCTCCACACTAAAAGCCAAAAAGCATCCTTCACATGAGATAACAGAGACAATAAAACCATAGTTGTGCCAAATCCCCTCTTTGCCCTGGATCCTGTCAGAATCTTTTCCTTTTAAATCACATCTCTTTTGCATTTGAGTCTTTGTAGATTCGGCTCAGAAGTTGGAATGTGATGTTTTCAAACTCATTTTATGTTTATGATTTCTACCAAACTATTCTGATTTGCTACAAACTGTGAAGTGAGACAAGCACTACATCATCTATTTATCAAAAAAGAAACTCAAAAAGAAAGGATAAATGTGATGCTCAAGTCAGAAACTTGGCTCTCCTTTCCCTAGTGAGGGATATACCTTGTTTCTTGCCTCCCACCCCCAAATCCTATTTGCAAGATCTAAGTGCAACGATTCATGGGAGCTTCAGTAAAGGTCGAAAAGAAGTCATTTCAGTTATGGAACTGCTGAGAATTTAAATCAAAAAGCAACAAAAACCATTGCACGTCATACCGTGTTCATGAGAGTTGATTCAGAATTGGCAACCAAGACAAACACGTCAGCATCCAAGCAGAATTTGTCAATCCAGCTGTCCAGCTCTGTAGTGACATCTGTGCCGGGGCTGTGGAGAATAAAGACCACAAACTCGTATTTACACAGCAAAGGAGTATTTGATTTTTAGAAACTGATAAAAATAGAGTGGGGTGGCCTATGGGCCTTGTGAGAAGATACAAAGCTCTGTATCTTTAGCCTGATGCTTACCTCAACCTCAAGCTTAATGCAAACATAGCAAAAGCCAATTACCATTTTGCATTTATCACTCCCTCCCTCATTGGACCATCTACTCACTGCTACATCTCTATCACTCTGGATATGAAGAAATCATACTTACAAATTCACTCCTACGTGACTGAATCACTCTAAAATTAATCTATATTGATTCACATATGAGGCACAGATCACCCAACAGTTTGAAAACATATTACCAGGTCGTATCTCATAGTGGCCAGGAATATGGGCATTTGACACAGAAAGGGCAACAGTTTTCAGAATTCTTTAAATACACAAACCATAGGAAATGCTCGCCCAACACCCAGGCACACACAGCCAACAGTCACAGTTATGTTTGGAGGTCACCCATTTGATATGTAGGCACCACAACCCTTATCAGAAGCTTTTAAAAATGAAGTCCAGATGGCTTATGTTCCCTGGGATCCATCTGAAGCATTTAAAGACAGGAGATGGGCCAAAAGCTGTTGCTGCAACAACCCTGTTCACACTTCCATACTGCTGGTTTTAAAGGTAGAAGTATCCTCAGCCAAAAAGCCAGTCCCATATTCAGCTCAGTCACAAGACACTCGTTTGTTCCAACTGCTACAAGGCCAGATTCAGTGGGGTGATGACAGGCAGCAGGATACACAAAAGAACAAACTCTGTACTCTCTCTCAAAAAAAAATATTTTAAAAAAAAGCAGCAACCTAACAACCAAAACACAATCAATCAGTAAACCAGTGTCATCTCTAAGGATTATAATGGCTAATTTATTTAACAAAACATTGACTAAACCAGAAAATATACCTGTCCACTAAAACCAAATCATCTCTCAGCAGGGCACACTTTGACTTGGGCCAGAAGACATGGACCAGACAGCCAGCTTTCAAATCTTTATCCATGTGAAGCGCGTGAGCCAGCTGATTGACCGTCTAAAAAGAGAAAGCAAACACGAATATGCAACAAACAAGCCTTTCTACCAGTCTAATTTGGTTCTCAAGCAAGCCTGGACAGGATCTTGAACAGAATTAACAGAGTTCATGCTTCCTTCTGGTGAATACTTGTGATTTATTATTTGTTTTAACCAGCACCTAAAGAACACATCAGTGAGGGCAGCTAAAGCAGCTAAGGGCTGTAAGGCCAAACGAGAGGCACATTCCATGTCTTTAACAAGTAACAGAACTTACTCTCAGTCCTATAAAAATAGATCACTCAACATATGCTACGCTACAATCAGACACACATTTGTGGTTTCTCTGAAATATCGAAGAAAAATTGCTAAGTAGACAATTTTAGTTTGATAGTTATTCCCTCCTAAATAAGAACTCAAAACTGCAGAATGAGTTAGCCTTATACTTGTGTTAGATCTGAAAGCGTTGTTAAAGGACATAATTTTGAGAAATGGTTACTGTGAGAAGTGGCATTAATCACTGGAAAACTGTACCTTGACACTCTTCTTTTCATCAGAACCTTCTGTCATAAGATAAGCCTTATCTCCATCTGTCCCCTCCACGCTGAGGAAGCAGTTAGTGGTGTGGCCGATCCCACTAGGAAGCACCTTATCCCACAGCATTGCATTGATGACTGAACTCTTCCCACTACTTGTTCTAGAGGGAAAGGAAATAAAAAACACTCAGCACAGCACAAAATCACCACTAATACTGTTGTCTTGAACTGATAGAGCTGGGTGACAGAGCTTCAAGCCAGTACAGCAGAGCTTGCCAGAAATACCAGTGAGTGCAGGAAAAGTTTATCTGAATAGATCCACAAATCTTTCTTGGTACAACATTGCCCATGCAACCAAGAAAACTAATTTTCATTTGCATAACACATACTGGCTCAACAAGCCAAATCTGTACTGGCGAGTATGATTTAGCTGGTATACCTCAATCTGTATAAGAATTTTGTAAAAGACACCAGCTCAACTTTGCTACACCAGAAAAAGCATCTGGTATAAAAAGATGCCTTAGATCAACTTCAAGCAATTGCTAAATCACAGCACGCTCTCCCACATCACGGGGCAGCCTGCCCTCTTCTCTGTGCCAGCCCTGGCATTCCTGTGGAAAAGAACCAGTTAAAAATATACACAACATTTTGGGGAGAATTATGTTCTGATCAGACAACAATTCCACATTCCTGCTCTATCTAATCTAAATGAATTCCAGGGATGCCAGAGAAGAATGTGAGAAGGTGGCAGGACAGGGGCAGGGAAGGACTACCCTCTAGAGTGGCAATCAACTCCTTGAAATGTTTGTTAAACTATCACCTCAGTAAGTTACTGTCTTCAGACAAACATCTTTTCTTTACCAGACAGGAAGGAAATGCTGCTTCTGACAGTCTTCTAGGCAAAAGGAGCATGGCTGTACTGATGCCTTCAGACAGGTTTCACAGATTGCTGTCTGGGAGTTCTCATCACAGCCAGCAATGACAACTCAGAACAATTTAATGGATGATAATCTCAACTGACCGAAGATTTCTACAGCAAAACGTGAAAAAACATGCAAAAAAACCTCTCAAATTTATTTCTTGTGCATAATCCTTATAATGCAAATGCTGTCTTTAATAATGAGCTTGCCCTTATTTCAGAAAAAAGAAGTGGCTAAATTAACCAAACCCCTGTTGATTAAAAGGAACGGTTCAACAAATCAGGATTCTGCAAGAATTTGAAGTTCTCAGTCATGTCCTACTTCACATTAACCCTCCACCCCTCACCCATAAAGATTTGAGGTTTAAGTGTTACACAACAGTATGAAGTTACACAGACTATAACTCATTTTTGAGCTGCCACTTCTGCTAGAAAAAGCTCAGTGCTCACTGTACAGCAGTTCACAGATTTATTCAAAATGCCAGAGGGAGAGTCAAATTATCTTTTTCCTGCTCTGAACTTTTGCACTTTGCAAAAGCAACTTTTATCACACATCACAGCTTGTAAATGTATTCAAACTTTTAACTTTGTGAAATACCAAGGCTGAGATATAACTGATTTCTTTATCCCAGATGCTTTTCTTGTTTTTCTTTAAACAGCTGAACTATTTTTAGCAAAGTGAAGGTAAGACAACTGTTGTACATTTTTTCCAGTACTATCACAGAATGTTTAGAACTAAAACATTAACATTCACACCCCAGAAAAAGATATATAACAGCATGCTTAAATTTAAGCACAGAAAAATCACTCTTCCTGAAGCAACATGGACTAACAGACCCCAGACTATCTAGGCACATAAAAGCATTTGAAAGCTCCAGAACTGAGTCTTTTAGAAGGACTTTGCTCACTGAATGTAAAGTCAGATGTAAGAAAGGCACATTTTCATCATCTTTCTACCCCCTCCAAATTTTACAGGAACAGCACAGCACAGTGTTTGGAAGGCAGACATTTATTGCAAGTGGTTATGACCCAATCAAAATTTCTCACTGAAAAAATAAAACTTTTTCACTAAGATGAGACCGAAACACAAACCACAATACATACAGAGCAGAGCCACATGAAACCTCAGCGCTTTGGGTCTAAATACCTGACAGCATCTCTTTAGAATATTTCTTATGTACTAACACATTTGGGGTGCAATAAATACAGTTCCTTTTAACTCCCTTTTTTCCTGCCAAAAAAAATAAATAATTAAAAAGAAAGGTAGCTGGGGTGATGCCAAGCTGACCAAAGTTAAAAATTTTTGAATACTGAAAATACAGGGTTTTTTTAGAACAGAATTTAATTTAAATCATCCATAACTTTGGAAATGCTATTGAAATAAGCGAAAGGTTGGACACTTGGGTCTGTAGTAATACCCCTAAGGACTGGGAACCACAACTTTTCTCAATCAGTGACTCAGGAAAGCAGAAATTCACAGCTTCATTCACATTGATCTGTAACATTGTTACCGTTATCCCTTGTAATCATCACCCAGATCTATCAGACAAAGGGTACAATCAACAAGGCAACTGCCTGTCTAATTTCCTTCAGCTGCTAATGGTCAGAAACACAAGCAGATCAAGGTTTAGTTCTCTTAGTACTTGTGACCAAACACAAACAAAAGTTGTCAAAAGTAATAGTACACTAAAAGACAGGTATTAAACAAACAAACCCACCACCTTAAAAAAAGAAAAGCCACTCTGGAGAAGAGGACAACAAACTCAGACCTTCCCAAGTTAAATAACTGATCTATAGGAGATAATTATTAAAAGTTTATCAACGAAAAGCATGTAACAAGACAGACGTAATTAACCTACAGTCACAAAGCAAGATGGTACCAAAGAAATATTCAGCATCAATTAGACAAGAATAAACATGGGTTTATGTATATTTCAAACAACGACTGTACAATGAAGCACTAAGTCCAGCGTATTTAAATTAGAATTAAGAACACTAAGCCCTGCAAAAGGAAAAAAATAGAAAAAAAGAAAGATCAAATTAAGTTGTGGTAATTCTGTTCGTTACCTGCCAAAAAATGCCACTTTCATATGTCTCCGTGAAAGCACCTCACCGATGACTGCTAACTTCTTTTTATATGCCTGTATTTTTGCTAGTTCATCTTCTGTTGCTACATGTTCAAGCTCTGGGTTCCTGTACGTTGCTACACATAGAAAAAGAGTAAAATAAAAGCAATCACATACAAGGGACATACTCTGGGATAAAATACAGATTATCAGTACTTCACACGCCAACACAGATTTGTGTAAATTTTAATTATATAGTGGTAAGAAAACAAAATGAACCAAACCCCACCACAGCCACTGATAGCAGCCCTTGGCGTTTGACAGCTCCACCGCAGGCACTTGTGAACCCATGACACAAATCACTTCAGATTAACCAACACTCCAGCTGCTGGATCCCCTAAGCCTGCAAACAGAGCCTGCAGCGCCCATTTGCCCTGCTTTTTGTGACACCCTCCTCCTTGAGAAAGGAAAGATGGGAGCTCTCCTGGCTGTAGCCTGCTGTCTCCCTGCAGAGCTCCCCGGGGTGATGAGCACCCAACTCCACGCGGTGCCTCCACTTTGCTAGAACTTCTGAGGGTGTAACCAGCAGCTCTCTGCGTTACATCACGTTGAACTACTTTCCTACTGAAAAATGGCAGAACCTGTTTGCCCCTTTGAAACCACAAGAGGACTATAAAAGCTGGGGCAGTTAAGCTTTCACCCTCACGGAAAGGAGACCAGGCTACCGGCCCAAGCGATGCAATTAGTGCTCACACACGTAGCCATCCTAGGCATTCCAGCTAGTCTAAGTTTAAAAGCTCAATGTCAAATGAAAAGCACGACTATTTCTGAAGGGATATGTTCACACCAAGAGCATACTGGTGTAATGGACACTGCGCTGCCGTAAAACATATTCAAAGCAAGGGGCAAGGCACTCGTGTTTCAGGTGACAGCCGACCTTCCACAAAAGTTGCTCCCTCGGTGACGTAGTCCAGCAGCTGGTCGAAGATGGCAGTGATTGTCCTTTTCGCCAGCACAAAGTGCTTCAGGGGGGAGACGGTAGCTTCTGCCATTGTGCAACTGCAAGGAAAGTTACGTAAAAGTGACCGAAAACACCCAATTCCTCGAAAAATCAAAGGCTTCTCCCCCAGTCGTTTAAAAAAAAAAAAAAAAAAGCCCGAAAAAAATCAAACCACCACAGCGCAAGAGCAGCAAGCTTACTTTATGCCGGCTCTTTCTGTTACCGTGACAAACTGTTCTCTCTTCCCCTCGCCACAGGCGCCGAGGAGGGGTTTAAACCGTTTCGGTGCGGCCCGTTCCCCTCACGCCAGGCCCTTCCCCTCACGGACGGCGGCGGCTCCCAACCTCCCACCGCCTGGAGGTCAGCGCCCTCCCCTCAGCCGAGCCGGGGGACGGCCCCGCAGAGCGAGGGAGCAGCGGGCGGGCCCTACCGGCTCCCGCTGCCTCACGGAGCCCCCGGATCGTCCCAGCCGTTACCCGGCAACCGCCGCGCCGCTGGCGGGGCCCTCCCCGCCGCCTCCGCCGGGCCCGCCGCCGCCGCCGGGACGGGGGCCGACGTCACTTCCGCTTCCGCCCCCCTCGC